ATTTTTAAAAGAAGACGAGCAGCAAACCCGGATTTCCAGTAGTACAAAGCTCTCAGGTAAAACATGTTCCTTACAAACAGATTTTTGTCACGTGTTAGCAGACTTCTGTGATAAACAAATGTGGACCCACATGCAGCGGCGCTCTCATTGCGGGAAACAAAACCTTTGTTGTGGCACATTTATAAACGCAACACTGATGACCCATGTCTCCGAACAATTCTTCTTTTTCCACTTGTATTATTACGGTTGGCAAAAAAACATGGCGTCTCTCTGCCGTCTGAACTCTGTAACAGATAAAAACTGTCTTCTAAGCTATCATGCATATTAATGTAGTTGCACCTCATTCACAATAGAGCGCGCTGGTTGGTTAGAACCAAGTACTACTTAAAAGGTAGATAATTACGCACATAATTATGTCGCTATTTCACTACTAGGTAGAGATGCTGTAAAAATCCATCTCTGCCTCGCTCTCTCTCTCACAAACACTTTGGACATTTGACCTGCTGCGCTGGCCTGTTTGTGAGGTAACGTTTCCTCTCCTCTTGGTGGTTAAAGCGATCCTTATAGATTCAGGCATGAACTTGCCTGAGGTGCGAGTTTTCTCTACTGTGTCTATTACAGGTTACCTGTGATAAACGTGTATAATGCACATATAGACTGTAACCGCGACAGTTCTTCCCGCTTGACTCATCGGTGAACAACGTTTTCAACAACCCTTTCTGTTAAACGGGTGAAGACAATGACCAATCATAGGGGTGTAAGACAGCGCTCAAAAAGGAAGTGGGATAATATTTACGTTAGTTTATTTTCTACAAATGCTCATGTTGTCTTCTGTTCATGTGTTGTAGTTTTGTTTAATACATTTTAAAAGCGTATTTTCGTTGAGCAGGTCAAATTTGAGGTCCAGTTCATATATCTTACTGCTTGTATTAAAGGACAAAATTTTATTACAAATAATATATAAAGATAAATATATTTATAGATTTTAATGAAAAAAAAATCTTGTGTTGTGAAGAAAAAATCTAGTTATGTTTGGAAAGCATCATCGGTGCACCAAGATATCGAATTGAACCGAATGGCATGATAATTGTAACCGAACCATGAGTCCAGTTTAAAAAGAACATATTTTTAGAAATTACAATACCGTGATATTGTGGAACTGTGATATTTTTATCCAAGGTTGTCATACAGTCAGAATCTTGTACCGGCCCATGCTTTGTCCTAATGTTTCTAGCAGCGTGGGACACATTTGACTGTCAACATCTCAGAAAATGTGTTTTGGTCTTTCGTAACCCTTTAAAGAAGATTGAAATAATAATGTTGTTTATCACTTGGAATTTTACAATTAAACATGACATCAAATAATAGGGGCTAATGACAACCTTGTTGGCTAGTCTTAAAAGTTTTGGTTTAAAGTCAATTTCACAATGGAGAAAATGAATAGGATTCCTTCAAATCCCACCTGCGAAATTGGCTCACAGCTTGTGCAAGTTTATTAATGTTACAGGATGAGCTAATTGTGCATTTCCCTCCTTTTCTCTCTCTGGTTTATTGTTAGTTACTACAGTTAATCAGTCATGTTTGTGGTAGACTCAAATTGGGACCGGATGCAGACCTAAAAGTGTATCCTAATCAGAGAACATCTGTTGTTTTGCTAAAAGTTATTTTTGTCACTTTACATATGTTCTTATGGTTAGTTATTACACTGTATGCTATTTCTGTGTATTTTATACAAAGAAGTATACAAAAGTGCATTCATACAAAATGCTTCGACATTCAATTCAAAAACAAATATGGAACATTGCAATGTTTTTTTTTCCTCCACCTTCAACCACTTTTGAGGTCTTTTTTTGCAAAATTAGCTTGTGCTATTTAAATACTATTGTCAACAGCATAAAGTCCATATTAAAACATAAATGTAACATAAAGTCCATAATAAATCAAAGTTTACAATGATTTTTTTGCTAGCACACAATGTTATTTATGTGAAAAATTAATCCGTGCATGTTAATACACTGAAAAAAAAGAGTTTGTTTTGGTAATCTTCAATCAAGGTCCGACCATTTGCTTTTACATTTGGAATGGTGGTCTTTCTCTATTAGCATCAGTTTGAAGGGCTTTGTCCACAATATTCCTAAACACATCCCTCTTAAGGCTGGATTTAAACTTCTTCGTAGGGCTGTGCGGTTTGGGGAACTTTTATTTTTTGACAGCTGTTTGTAATTTCTTTTTAAAACTAGAAGTTGAAGTCAACACTAGGGGCTATGTAATTTCTAGCTAGTTTGTAACTGAATTTGTTAACATGTTCTTATAGCAAACCGTAGTTAGTAGGTCTTAAGCTTTCCATAAAGTCATGCGTACAGATGTATTTAATGACGTAATATTTAATAAGAAGCATTTAAATCGTTAAAATGTTATAAAATTCTGCAACTAATGCATCTATATATATATATATAACTGTCCTACAGAAATGAAATGACAAATTATATTTTTATAGTACATTATATTACAGTCAGTCACTACAGGCGATGCACACACCTGCATCGCGAACTGTGGAAGCACATGAAAAACACATGCAGTTATCAAAACATCAAACTTTCATTTTGTGTGACTTTGAAACCAAAATATTCCCATATTACCAATGTCCAATTTTTTTTTTTTGTTATAAATTTTTTCTATTATTGCTTCTGAAGTGGCAGATGCCATCATCCCACTCGTCTGCACTTTTATGTGTGTGTGTTTTTGTTTTTTTGGGTGTCCCACATAGTTTGGTTGTGCAGTTCTGATTGGGAAGAACGAAAGTGTGCTCACTCAGTTGGCTAGTAAGACTGTCACACAGACGCCATGCACGCATGTTCTGGGTGGATTTCATGATTTTGCAGTCTCTTGCATATTGCTAATTGCAATGTTTTAAATTGGAATTCGATTTCAATTAATCGCATAGCCCTACTCTGAGTCAAGCGCACTCGTATGGTCCGGCGCAGCCTTTGTGCGGTCACATAGCCCTTACATAGCCATCTCGCCATGGCTGATGCCAACGCTGACGGGCACCTCTCAAAAAATGTAACTACATTTTGAAACGACAAATAGCGCAATCTCTGTGATTGGTCGGCTTGGTAGCTGTGACGAGTGTGGGCGGTGTTGAAAGCATTCAGCCAGATGGAATGATTTACAAGTGTTGAGTCCCATGAAAGAGCTCCAGATAGAAAATTTTGTTTTGTGTTTATCTCATGATTACATTTCCACCAGTTCCCACCTCAGAATGAGTGAGTTTTAGCTACATTAAGGTAGTGTTTAGAAAAAACAAAACACTCGTGAAGAAACTTGACACAGAGGAACATAACCTACTGCCAGCTAGCGTTTCGGAAGTGTTATTGCAGAGCAACACAAACAGCAAGCAGAAGTATAAATGCACGACTACATGTAAAGCATGGGCCATGGGTCACAGCGATCACTCAATGCTAGGGGTGTCAAAATTAATTGTTTTTTTTTAATGCACCGTGATGCAGATGCATTTATCTCATATGCACTACTGTTTGTGTGTGTTTGCTGGACAGTCTTTCACTGACACAGTAGCCTCTATTTCACTGCGATTGAGTGAATGAAAGTAAGGGTGTACTCACACTATGTACACTTCCCTTGAACTGGGCCAAAGCATGCTTGTCCCCCCTCCCATGTCCCCCGATGGCCCACACTCACATTACATTCGGGCATGGGCACACTTTCGTCATCGATGCTGCGCTGATCAGTAAGCGCTTTCGCTCAGCACAATGGAGATATATCGGTAAAGTCGTTATGCAGTGACATGCAATCTAATATTTCGCCAAACAGATCCGCCACGTTTGATGCTCATAAACAATCATAAAGTCCTCCTGCTGCAGGTATTAGAAGGTTTGCTGAAGGTGCAGCTTAGGTGCATTGAGGGATTTGCGTCTTTAATAATCTACGACAGTGTGCGTTCATTGAACAGTAAGAATGGATCCATATGAAACATTCCCTTAAAAGTCACGTCTTGCTTTTAGTTTCGGACTCAGGCGCATTTTGCACTCGCACACAAGCGTACCGCACCAAAGCCCAAGTAAACCGCGCTCTGGCACACCTCTTCCCACCGGGCCAGGACCGGCCAAGTGAACCGTGCCTGAGCCCGATTCAGAGCACTCACACTTCTCAATCGATTTGGAAAAAGGGCCTGGGCACGGTTCGGATAGAATAGTGTGAGTATGCCCTAAACCCCATTTCTCTCTCTCACTGTGGCCCATTTGACCGGCTGGCGTGACTTTACTTTTCCTATTTATAATACAATAAATAGGCTGTTACAGCTATACTTCTGGATATACACACACAAGCATGTCTGCAGAGCGAGTTTTCTCTACCGTGTCTATCATGGATCTGCCGTTTTTCAGTGTCACTCATCAGTAAACAGCTCCAGAGCGATAGAGCCAATCGCAGCCCTTTCTGTTGAGCGCGTGACCAATCATAGAGGTGTAAGAAAGAACTCATTAGACAAGGCTCAAAGCGAGCGCTATATATTTATATTTGTTTATTTGCTATGAATGCTCATGTTGTTCTGTGCATGTACTTGAGTTTTTAAAGGTACAGTTTATATATCTGACTGTATTAAAGAAGAAATTTGTATTATAAATAGTATGTAAATATAAATATATTTATACATTTTAATACAAGAATTTTTGTGATGTGAAGTATATGAAGTATGATAATCATAACCGAACCAAGAGACCAGTGTAGGTTCACACCTCTACTCAATGCAGAAGTATAAACCAGCCTTTACTGTTAGTTTGCTACAAGGGAATGAAGCACAAAAGTAAACCCCGCCCCCTTCTCAATATTCTGTTTCAGTTGGAAGTACATCAACATACTGAAACAAAAGTTTCAGCAAATTTCAGTTCACACAGACTTTATTGGTGCATAAATTGCACACTTCTCATAAAAAGAAGTGTAAATGTCAATAGAACATGATTTGGCCTTAATTTATCCCACAGATGTCAGGATGGAGTGTTGTGATGGGGAGCCGCGCTACACCATTGAACAGATCGACCTGCTCCAGCGCTTAAGGCTGTCGGGGATGACCAAACCTCAGATCATTCAAGCCCTTGAGTCTTTAGACAGGCTCGATCCGGACCATCGTACCCCATGCTGCAACAATCACTCAACTCAACCCAGCGCCCCTACCTCCGCAGCCCCTGCTGCCCCGTCATCCTCCTCCTCATCTTCCTCGTCTCTTACCTCAGCCACCACGCAAACCCCTGTAATTGATGCTGCATTATCACCCAGTAACAGCTACGATGCCTCACCTCCACCCCTGTACCCGCCCAGTGGAGTTCAGAGATCGTTCAGTTACGATTTGGCAGAGGAGGACTGGGATCTGGAGGAGAAGGTGGAGGAATACATGAGGTACTGTATCTGTTACGAGCGCACATTATGAGCTGCTTCTGTGGGCTTCTCTTCTCAGGTCTACTGAGAGGCAGAGATTAATATAACAGCTGATAATGACAGCGAATGTCCCTGAGCAACAGTGTAATTTTCACAGAACAAGAACCCTTTCTGAATCAGGTCAGGTGGACAGTTGGTGCATATGGATACTTTCTGTAGCTTTTCTTGTAACGGCTTGGGCTCTGGAGAATGCAGGATGCTTCTCATTTAAATATACTTTGTGGCCAATTTATTAGGCACGCCTGGCTAGTTTGTCTTCAGAACTTACTTAATTCTCCATGGTGTAGATTTAACAAGGTGTTACTGGAAACGTTGCTTTTGGATTTTGGTCTGTATTGAGGGTAAGGTGCAGGTGATGCAGATTTGTTGGCTGAACTGAACATGATACTTTACTCACGCAATTGATATCGAAGTTGGTAATTGTCTTTCTTTCTTGAGTCAAAACGAAATTAGAGCTTTCAAACTGCAGATTCTGATGGCTCTACATGATCCCAGTCGAAGAATGGGAAAATCAAATCAGCAAAAAAAGTCAGAGAAAAATCCTGCACCCTTAAAAAGCTTTTCAATTTCTTTTTGACTGAAGAAAGAAATAAATTGCAAATCAAATCTTGAATGACATGGCTTTTAGTACATGATAGAGACATTTTTATTCTGGAAGTGCACTAATCATTTAATCACTTGTTCCACCACATCCTAATGGTGCTCTTTAGGATTTGTGGACTGTGGAGTTTATTTAACTCAACTGTCATGTTCAAGAAACCAGTTTGAAATGATCTGACCTCATTGAAAGTGCATTATGGAAGTAGCATCACAAGATGAGTTCACTATGGTCATAAAGAGATGGACATGGTCATGGACATTAGGGATGCAGGATATTGGAAAAATTTGACATTGCAATATTTTGTTATTTTGTGATTATACATTGCGATATGAATACAATTTCACCAGATTTGAATATCTCTATATGAAAATAATTTATAGTTTTAGATAGATTGGGAAGATTTTGTAGGGCCTTCCATCTGCATAAAACATAATAAGCTATATACAAGCATAGATCAATATAATACGATACAAATGAAAGTGTGTTTTATGGTTCTAGTCAGTCTGCGTTTTTTAAATAATTCAATAAAACTGATCATTTTTAAGGTTACAAACAATACAATTTCTTATGCCTGAATTCTTTTGAAATCCTCATACAGTCATAGGCCTCAAAAACATGCAAATTATTCATGATAATCCAGACTCAACATTGCATACACTGCGATGAGACCTTCGAATAATCACAATGCTGAAATGATATATTGTGCAGCCCTTATTAATGCTTAGTTGGTATTTTGAAGACCTAAACTGTGTCAAGAAAATATCTTGCTTTGATTTTGTTTATGCCAAATTTTGACACTAGCTTTTCTGCAGCAAATATTGAGACCCCTAGGACCAGAGAACTTTTGTCCAATCTTCCATTGTCCAATTTTGTTGAGCCTCTGTGATTGTAGCCTTGCTTTGTTGTTTCAGAGATCTGGGCTGTAATGAATAGTTCAAGAAGGCCTTTTTACTCCCAGAGCTACTGCTCACAAGATTATTTCTCTTTTGGAGACCACTCTGTGTAAACTTTAAAAATGGTTGTGTGTGAAACTCCCAGTAGAACAGCAGTTTCGGAAACACTAAAACCAGCCCAGTGTGACACCAATGACCATGTCACATTTTGAGTAATTAATTGAAATGTTTTTTTTTGTGTGTGATCTGATGCTCTGTTTGAACTCCTGCAGATCTTTTTGACAGTCTATATCAGGGGTCACCAATCTTGTTCCTGGAGGTCCGGTGCCCTGCAGGGTTTAGCTCCAACTTGCCTCAACACACCTGCCTGGGTGTTTCAAGTATACCTAGTAAGACCTTCATTAGCTTATTCAGGTGTGTTTGATTAGGGTTGGAGCTAAAATCTGCAGGACACCGGACCTCCAGGAACAAGTTTGGTGATCCCTGGTCTACATGCTTAAATGTATTGGGTTACAGCCTTAAAATAATTACAAATATTACAAATATCTGAATATTTGCATTAATTAGGTATACCGTATAAATAGGCCTATGGATGTACAGTACATATTATGTAATACCCTAAATATAACAGTCGTTTTAGAACATGTATTTAAATCTCATTTTTTTCACCATTTTAAAACTGTTAGACTCTGTGCTTTAGTTTGTTGCTTTAATCCTTGTCTTTATTTGGACTGTAGGAGGGACAGCAACCTTGTGAAAGAAGAAATAAAGGCTTTTCTTAATAACAGAAGGATCTCCCAAGCAATTGTTGGCCAAGTCACAGGTACTCTGCATGCTTTTTTTTGTCTTGCGCTGGGGGAGGGTGGTAGTGTGAATCTTTTTTTTTTTTACACAATCAAATCTTTTATTCAATTACAGTTACATATTATTTCCATACAATATTTTTCTGCTTGTCGAGTGTGCACCAAACTTTTGTCCGAATCAACCCTAACAGAGAGAGAATCTAGGCCAACCACAGCTTCGATAACCAAAACGTTGAGATGGTGGAAAAACATCAAGCAACTGAAGCTGATAATATCTGACTGGAAAGAGGTCACATTTACAGCTGATGAGAGAAGTGCAAACCAACTCTGTGGAAGCAAACTGTGATTGCAAACTCAGATTGCGTTTCCACCTCTTAGTTAATATGTTTCCCATTCTCAGAACAATTGCATGCATTCTTGATGTTTTACACAGATTATATGTTATACAGCAGGAAAAATCAACACTGGATCTGATGAACCACACTGAGTACAGATTGGGTTCAGATGTGCTTATAGTATCAACTTCAGTTTGTGTTGAGAACAACTGGATAGTATTCTCTATAAAATAATCAAAAAAGATGTATGTTTGAGATTTTAAACAATATTTTTTAAACCCTCTTTTTAATGATTGTAGTCTGTGTATATCATTGTAATGGTGGAAATAAGTATTGAACACATCCTGTTTTTTTTCTTTGGAATAATATTTTAAACTGTTGACATGGGTTTGAACCATATTTTGGTAAAAACCCAAACAGTACAAACAAAAACTAAAACAAAACAATTTTTAAAATCTGAAAAATGAGTTATGTGTAATAGCAATGAAATGACACATGGTGAAAGTGCTGAACTACTGAAACATGTTTAATACTTTATATAAAAGGCTTTTGGGTGATGGCAGTGTATGGGTTTTTAACCACAGTAGTTTAAACTGTAGCTCTGCCGAGTGACTAAAAAGTTATCAGCATGATAGTAAAAAACTGTACATTTTCAGTCAAACTATTCTTCTGCAATCTGATACAAAAACGGAAATAAGGGCAGTATTAATAGCTTAAAATGTGGTAGAGCGTTGCTATTATGTAATTAAATTGTATTGCAATATGGAGCAATTGAGTGTTGATGTTAAATCAAAAGTAATTTACAAATACTTGATAATGACATGATTTAATGACAACAACTTGCTGTGGTTAAAACTGAATTAGTTATAAATAACTCGATAAAATATGAAATGATAAAAACATAATTATAACTGTACTCGGCGTAAATGTAAAAATGAAGTTACCAGAGGTAGAAGGAGAGACAGAGGGAGGGAAAGACAAAGAGAGCAAGTAGGCCTCATAGAGGCAGAGAAGATAGACTCCAGATCAGGAGACGAGCAGAGCAGGAAAGCGCAGACCAAGAAAAGAGACAGTGCAAAGTTTACCAGCTGTTTTGCATCTTTTTTGACCATGTGACTACAGCCCAAATACAGAGACATTCAAACTGACCAATAAACATGTGACCACATTGTAAAATCCCCAAAGTCCACACACACCCCAGGTCCTGATCTAATCAGTATCTGCCTTTGGAGTCAGTATGGACCTTCTGTGGTGAAAAAGACATGTTTTGCCATATAAACAAATGCATATAATAATTTTCATTCGTACAGCAGCTTACAGACGCCTTTCATATGGAGAATGAAGTCACATGAATTGCTCAGGTGCGAGATTTTCACAGACCTCAACAAATTGTAAAATTCTTGATGGTTCTGTGGGTCTCGTCTATCAAATCTGATCTTTATTTTTTATTTTCTATTGGATTCAAGTCAGGTGATTGGCTGGGCCATTCCACAGCTTAATTTTCTTTCTCTGAAAGCATTTGAGAGTTTCCTTGTCTGTGTTTTGGATCATTTTCTTGCTGAAATGTCCACCTTGGTTTCATCCTCATCATCCTGATAATGTAGATGTTGGACTGAAGCAGCTAATATTAATTTTCAATGATGAAGGGCGGAGGGTTGCTGAATAACTACTAAGAAATTTCAGCTGCTGTCTGGACTTTCACTGCCTTTCTACACCTCACTTTCTTCATGTGTTCTATACTTTTTCCCTGCGTCATTTCATTTTATTACGCATAACTTAATTTGTAAACTCTTTGGTTATCAGCATCCGGTGATAATTTCAAGTCAACAGCACCTTTAGAAATATGTTTCTCTGAGAAAAATGGTGTAGTGTCTTATTCTATAAAGAATATAAATTAATTTATATACCATATATTCTTCAAAATAAGTTGGACTGTCAACAGCATTGCTGAGAGAAAATATATTTACATTTTTTAATTTAATTACAAAAGAATATCAAATTAAACATTTATATTTCAAGTATCTATTCCCCTTATGCCACAATAAATCCATAACGTTTTAAAAGAATAATAATAAAAAGGAATACAAAATTCTATATTAAAACAAACTGATATTAAAGTCAATTCATTTGTTCAGTCCGTTCTAAATTATTAAATATTTTTGTGAACTGAAATCAGTATTTGACAAAATTCTACACATACATTCACATAAATAAAGTACCTGCTTTGCTTTTGGCTTATTGCATGATATCTCTTTGCTTTTCAGAATAAAATGTAAATATTACAAAATTGGTAGATGTTTCTAAATTATTCAGTGGAAATCAACCCTTTTCCAGAACTTATCCTTAACAAATGATCACATCACACATTCAGAATTTGCCCTGTGTTCATATTCTGTAGGTATTAGTCAGAGCTACATTTCCCAGTGGCTCCTGCAGCAAGGACTGGAGATGAGCGACTCTAAACGCAGGGCATTTTATCGCTGGTACCTGCTGGAGCGCAACAGCCCAGGTGAGCTGAGTTTCCATTGCAGGGACATGATTTGCCAAAAGCAAGGGCTTGGATTTCTGAGCAGTTTATTTATTTATTATCATTTGCATTTGCTTTCTTGTTGTTTCCCCCTGATAGTTGTCATGGTCCTTGAGGGCTTTGCATTTGACGAATTGTATCTTTCGACGTTCGAATGAGCAAGTGCATTGGAAGGACATGCCGTGTTTCTACACTGAATTGAAATTCAATCAACTGTTGTCATTTCCCATCAGTTATGTGCTTAAGTTAATGCTGTTCTTGGCACATCCAAGAAGTGTAGGTTGTTCCAGTCGGAAATGAGCTTTAAAGCCTTTTAGGCTGTAACGCAGCCAACACTGGCATCGTCTTGCATTTATAATAAAGAGAACGTGTTGATGTTTGAAGGAGCTAATTAAGTAATGTGAAGCCCTCCAGGACCACTTCTGCTCTCCATCTCCCAGGTTAGACCCTCTTTTGTAGCTCTCAGTCCTGATCCTGGGTTTGTCAAATGCTGGTTTTCATGTCCTCTTTTGCACTTAAGTGCTGTTAACACCCGACCCTTACTAACTGAGCCCCAAGCATGGCGCTTTTACGTTCTCTACGGTGCTAGAGAATTGAGCATGGCTCCGAGATACTAATCCTGCTTCTTAACACTGCAATGTTTTCTCAGAGTACTATCTTAATTTTTTTTTAATTGTCATCGCCCCTCCGAGGGAACCTAGTTAACAGTTTTCTGATTGCCCAAATGGGTTAAAGGAGTCAGATGGAGTGAAAACCAGCATGTTCAGGTGCCCAGGAGCAGGACTGACTCTCCCTGGATCAGGCAGAGAGAATTGCTGATGCACCTCCTCCCCTGGTACTCTGCTCACCAGTCTCAGCCAGGTAATGTTCATCCGGCAGGGTCAAATTGAACTGAAGTACTTTGGGAAATGAATAATTGTTCCTTTTTGAATCTAAAGTTGCCTTTCATCTCCAACAAAGGATATAGGTGCGGCTTGTAACGGTGGCAGTGTACAATGGCATACACAGGCTAGTTGCATAAATTTAGCCTACATGCTAAATAGGTAGATCATTTTGAAAATGTATATTGTCTGTGGATGTACTCTTATGCTATAAGATTTAGGTGACTTAAAATATATTTAAATTTATTTAAAAAATATTTTTGGCTTCAGTAGAACATACAGTGCATCCGAAAAGTATTCATAGCCCTTCCCTTTTTCCCACGTTTTCTTATGTTACAGCCTTATTTCAAAATGGATTCAATTTATTTATTTCCTCTACACACAATACCCCATAATGACAATGTGAAAAAAGATTTTTTGAAACTGTTGCAAATTTATTACAAATAAAAAACCTGATCATTCACATGTACATAAGTATTCACAACCTTTGCTGAGTGTGGAGTCCCGTGAAGGAGCTCCGGATGAAAAGTTTTGTTTTGTGTTTACCTCATAGTTAAAGTTGCTGCACGTCCGCCGGTTCCTGCCTCAAAATGAGCGAGTTTGAGCCACTTGTACATCTCGGAAGTGTTTAGGATAAGCAAAAAAGCAGCGAAGAAACTCGACACAGAGGAACATTTACACCTCACTGCCAACTAGCGTTTCGGAAGTGTTAATGCAGACCAACAGAGACATCGCGCAGAAGTATAAATGCACAGCTACGGGCATTGCATGCGCCGTGGGTTACGCCGGTCACTTGACGCAGAAGTATAAACCAGGCTTAAAGACCATGGCCTCTAGCATATTTCGTTAGAGGACCTTTTAGAGGTCAGAGGAGTAAGGTTTACCTGCACCGCACTTCACTATCTGGCCTCCATTACACTTGCGCCATTCTGAAGATGTTTTCAACTGGTATGCCTGGCTGAAATGCGCAAGTGCGTCGCTCCCAATTATGCATGTGCAAGCCTCGCGCCTCCATTGGAGATCATGAACAGTGAAGTTCTGATCATTTGTGAGCGTTGGATGCCCTAATATTTGATCTTTTCCAGCTAATCCATATGCTGTCATTGTTTTGGAATTGATATATTATAATTTTGTTTTGTAGTTGTTAGTTAAATTGTTATGCTTTGAAGTAGGGCTGGAAAAATATGACATTGCGTTATTTTGCTTTGCTGCGATATGTTTCGATATAAATACAACTTTAATAGAAGCTTTGAATAGCTCTGTTTGCAAAGAAATCATTAATTTAGATCAACTGGGACGATCAAGTGTTTTTCTATGCCATGCATTTGCAAAAATTATTATAAATAACAAGTAAACAAATCAATAAACAATGCCTAACAGAGTCTTACAGTATTCAAGTATAGAAATTGAACAATTAAATGTAAAATAACATGGTCATCATTGTATACATAATTAAAAGATAATAATATCTTTATATTTTAATCTTTAATCTAATCCTGCAATGTCACACATACACCTATACACACATTGCTCAAACGATGCTCAAACGATATATTGTTCAGCACTACTTTGAAGTCAATCATATTTGCATATTTGTTGTGTGTTAAATGAGCACTGACGAACCCTGAGTAATGTTAACAACCATAACTCACTGCCATGACAGAAAAACCCTACAAAATGTCTGTAGCTTTTGAACTGTTTTTTGAGGTGGTCATGAACTTCCATTTTATTTTATATGGTTTTTGAAGGTTCACTTATGCTGTTACTAAGATTTAATAATCATTTCAAAGTAATTGACTATTTTCTGTCCTGTTTTGACCCTTCCATCATCTGAACACACTGAATAAATAGACCTGTTGGTCTGTAGAGTCTGAATGAAACATGGTATGATTGGGTTACGGTTTTTCGTAATAAAACCTTTTTTAAAATTTGGAAAGGACAGCTTTCTGCTCATTCTTTACCGTTATAATTTGGGTTAAAAATACATAAATACCAAGAATTTATACATGCATATCAAAAGTTCTGTAATGAATGACTGACCAATTTTGTCTATGTATTAATGAGAATAATAATAGTTTCACTTGAGTGGTGTAACAATGTTAGATCCAATATAGCTGACACATCACCAGCTACGTTTCCATCCACCACTTTTAATGTGTATTTTGGATATGCAAATCAAAAAACGGTTGATGGGAACGTAGAAGCTTTTTTATTTTTTTAATTTTTTTTTATATTCGGATATCTTATGCGATATTCCAGTTTGCGATGAAGTGAATTCACATTTTTGGATGGAAACATAGCTACTGTCTATCTGAAAATTCAGCATCCAATTTTGCGTCGTTCCTAAATAAATTTGTGGTAAAATTATTGAACAAATAACCAAGTTCTTACCGATGCACTCTTTTCTTATGTTTGAACCAGAAGAAAGCCAATGCATGTTTTCCACATCATTACACAATGTCTTGTTGTCTTCAAAGCATCTTTATGAATTGGTTTCTGTGTAAACCTGCATTTCCCTTTTGATATTTGCCTCCTACTTTGGCAAATCAGTAGGCAAACAGCAATGTAGCAGCTGTTGATCTTCTGTTTAACCACTCAGTTACAATATAAAATGGCATTTTTCATGTTATAAAGAGATTGGATTCCTAAAACTTGGACGATATTAATAAAAAAAAAATGATTTTGCAATTTTTGACCCCATTGAAGGAATAATTATCATGTTTTGTTTAATGGTTTAGACCTGTCACAATACTTATTTTTTGTTGTACAATATATTGCACCAAAATATATTGGAATAAACGATATTATTGTCATTTTATGACCATTTTATGTCACTCGTTATAAAATACCAGATATAATATCACCATAATGCAAGTGCACTCTTCCAAAGAACAAATAATTTTCTTCTCATGAATATTTAATTTAACTATAGTCATTTGAACAATTTAATAATTAGGCATTGGAATCAGAATGAGAAAATACATATCCTAAATAAATAATACTAAATGTTAACAAAAAATGCAGGGAAAAAGTAACAGAGGTTGTGACATCTGCCAAAGAATCTATTTTCAGTTGTCAGTCACCCACATGAAAATATACTAAAGTAATTTATAGTAAATACTTTAGTGTTTCTTTAACCATACTGACACTGACACCCCAATTAAGATAGAGATGTTGCACAATCATCTAAAATGTGGCTAGAATAGTTTTTTTATGTACGAGTGATGTATATTGCATCACTAAAAATTATTAAGGTTATGTCCATGTGTTGTGTGCTAAGTTGATATATTGATTAATGTGACAGGCCTAGAACCATCACTTATATTTGTTTAGCTACATGTGGGGTAAATTTATGTTATTGCTATTTTGGTTGTGTGTGTTTTTCAACTTACATATTTAATATTTCCAACAATGTTTACAACAGGCGCTACATTGTCCATGCGGTCCCTGGTTAAAGAGGAGCCTGACTGGAGGTTGGCTGGAAGCCCTGCGGACCGGGCAGCGGTTGGACCTTTCAGACTGCGGAGAGGTAGTCGCTTCACCTGGAGAAAAGAGTGCCAGTCAATCATGGAGAGGTAAATCATAACACATTACTGTCTTTGGCACTATTCAGACAGTAATTGTTCCTCAGGGTGACATTTTGGCAAGAACATCTGCGTGGCTGCTTTGAGATGAAACACACAGAGAAAAGCACTTGCATGCAGCAGTGAAATATGGTTTTTACTCCTCTTCAAGGGCTTAATTAATTTCTGTACACGTAAGTAATGAATTATGGTAGTGATAAATGCAAAAAACATTTAAATCTAAATTTTGACATTATCAATAAATATACACATAAGAAAAAAATGAAGAGACCACTTGAAAACTATTTATGTTTGTATGTTTGAGTAAAATATTATTTTTGGTTCTTGTTCTACCAATTATTGATGGCATTTCTTCAACATTTTAAACTGTTCCCAATTAGACCGTGAATGAAATGGGTAACACTTTACTTAAGGTTGTGGTAGTTAATGCATTTACCATCATGAACAAGCAATGAACAATACATTTTTTACAGTGTTTGTTCATGTTAGTTTTTATTAGTGAATGAAAATACAGTCGTTCATTGTCAGTTCATGTTAATGCTAACCAACTAGCATAAAACACAGTCCCACCTCTGCCGTCCAAAGCCACGCCTTATGAAATACGAGTGCGCGCACCTTACAGATGTCAGCAGAACCCTCATTCAGCGACTAGTGCTTGGCCAGCGACGTGCAGGATTTACACTTATTACTAAGCCATACTTGTATGCTATTTTCGAATATTCGGAGTATAATAAGGATAAAAGAGACCTTGCACCCGGGCTCACCGCCGCCCGGTGGCCTTAGGATGACAGAGAACCTTGAACAATATTAATTTAAGCTAATAAATATAAAAAAAACCTAAGAAAAATCACAGATTTATGGCAAACTTCCTCCTGTCAGCATGTGAAGTTTCAGGCAGATCAGACAATGCATCCCTGAGTTATAACAACTTCCTGTTTCAAAGTTTGTGAGGCCTCCACGAACACGCCCTTTGACGAAAACTCTAGATCTTCGCAATTTAATATCGCCAAGGCCTTTAGATGACAGTACCCAATTTTGGTTTTGATCGGATTAAATCCCTAGAAGGTACCAAAATACAAGTAATATACAATGCCTGGAAATGGCAAAAAATTAAATATGCAAAAATAAAATATATTCAACTTCCTGTTTTTAAAAGTTTTTATTTTTATTTTATTTCATCAAGATTAGCAGTATCACTATCCTCATATTTATGCCTGCTATTTGAGTCAAACATTTCTCCATTCTTAATCATTTTTCCCACTTTGTGTTTTTTTGTGATAAATGTTGTTGACACCCATTCTATTCATCTAATACATTACAGTGTGTTCTAAAGCTGCTACTGTTTCCCATTGGTTGAACAATGAGCATGATATTCCCAAAGTCTTGTTCCAATTCGCTTCATTTGTTCTCACAGTTTCTTTATCGAGAATCAGTATCCCGATGAGGCCAAAAGAGAGGAAATTGCCAATGCCTGTAATGCTGTCATTCAAAAGCCTGGTAAGTGATTTCAATCAGTATCTGAGCTGCTTGAAGTCATTGCGGCAAATGTACTCGCTGAATATAAAAGAGCCAGTGTACTTATTGATGAATTTCTTCTATAAATGTGGTTTCAGGATGCAAACTCTCAGAGTTCGAACGAGTCACTGCGCTCAAAGTGTACAACTGGTTTGCTAATCGGAGGAAGGAGATGAAGAGACGTGCCAACATAGGTGAGCATCAAAATTTGACTATGCTTGAAGCTGTATTTTCTTTTTTCTTGAATACATTCAATTACAATTTTAAAACCAATTTACAAGTTGTCTATTTGTGTACATTGAAGCCTTTGTTGATTATTACCTCATGAATATGCAGTTCCTGTTTTAATTTAATTCAAATGTTTTGTCCTTAGATTGAATCTTTGTAGGTCATTCTAATATGATTTTTGTACATTGAGACATTTTGGTTACACTTTAAAAAAATGTTCCATTTCTTAATGTATTTACTAACATTAAGAATGAATAACCTTGTAAAGCATTTATTATTCATAGTTTAACATAAAACAATGCATTATTAAAACTTAATGTTGTGCTTGTTAACATTAGATCGAGTTAAATGATGTTTACTTATGTTAACAAGAATGAATAAATACCATAATAAATGTATCAGTAATTGTTTTTTTCATGTTAGTAAGTACATTAATATTAACTAATGGACCATTATTTTGAAATGTTACTGACATTTCTTACTATCAGTGTTAAACAGTTCCATCAGTTAAAAGTATACATTTTAATTTAAAATGAATCAAACAGACTTTTAGGTGGGTGTCAAGTTATTTTTTATGTATTAATTTTTTTGTAGAAATTGTAATTCAGTTTCATACATTAAGATAATTTCTCTTAATATTACAGGGTTTGTTTGTAGGGTGTAACAATAAATTTTTGCATTTGGGCGCAAAGCTTGAAGTGTTTTGTTTTCAAACTAGCTCGATGGAAAGTTGTGTTTTCAAACTTTGAAGTGTTCCTAGTGCAACTCACTGCATGCTCCTAATAAAATTACATTTATTGATGTATTGTGTGCTCTACAATTATTTATTCAAATGTATTTCTTTGATTTTAACCCTTTCACGCTTACAATCACACCAGTGTGATCAGGTTTGGCTGGTCCCTAAAGTATACAATCACACTGGTGTGATTAGAGCATTCAGAGCACACGTCATCAACTGTGAAAATTTAAATCTGATGGCACACACTGTGGCGCAGGGTGCACGGCTCTTGTCATAAATCAATTTATCCATGCTTTCAAATTAATTCAGACATTCAATTACACATAACAAAAGCAAAACATACCATTTAAGGTTTGTAAAATACACTCAGATGTCCATGGAGATGGCAATGATAATTATTTTTAAATATAAATGGATGATATGGACAAAAATTTTGCTATATTGACTTAAGTATCCTCAGCTGTATCCCATGGGATACAGCTGAAGATTCTCTCGCAAAGACTAAAGAATACGTCAATATAGCATACTTTTTGTGACACTGTAAAGCAAATAATAGTTTTACATTTTTGTGAGAGTTTGGTTTAGAATTGAGATAGGTATAGACAGTAGTAAAATACAAATAATGGGTAATGCAATAAATAATATAAATTCTTCTCATTAACTTTCGATCACAGCTGTATCCCTTCTTGGAACAACGGCGGCGCCCATTAAAATACATCAATATAGTATGATTTTTGTGACACTCCAAAATAAAATACAATTAATACGTGATTTGATTAATAATATACTTCTCATTAACTTCCGATCGCAATTGTATGCCTTCTAGCAACAATGGCGGCGCCCATTACCCAAAACAACAAATAAAATCCTTAATAAGCCGTTTAAAAGACAAAATATATGTTCTATCACATATTTGAGAGTGGGAGTATTAGAAATTTCACAATATAATTCGAACATTTGTCAATATTTACAGAAAAGGGCAAAAAAACTAAATACGATATGTACATAGATCATTGAGTCTGATGGGTCACGTTGACCCATGGCCATGTGAACTTTTGAACGCAATGGATAATAAGTAACAAAAAAAAAAAAAACAGGTAGGAGGTTCAGGTAGAGTATTTTAAACACGAGTGAAAGGGTTAAAGAGACTTAAATATATCTTTATAAAACCTGAAGAAACTGTATAAGCTTTTTGCTGTAGCCAGGCTGCTACATTTAAACCGCTGTCATTATTCGTATATTGCATTATTTGCACACTTTTTCTATCTTTCGCTCAGAGGCTGCCATACTAGAGAGTCATGGGATAGAAGTGCCGAGCCCCAGCTGCCACTCCAACAGCGAAGAGGTCGAGACTCAGGAGTTTGGAGATCAAGTCACGAGTCAGCGCTTCTCTGAGCAGGTTAGACATTGCTGTAAATACACTACTTCAACTGTTTTCAGGGTCAGGCTTGTTCTCTTGATCAGGGTTTCCGCAGAGTCTCCGGGTCTGGTAGGAGCACTTTTAGCTTAGCTTAGCTTAGCATAAATAATTGAATTGGATTAGTCCATTAGCATCTTGCTTAAAGGTGCCCTATAAAGATAATCTGGGTATGCATAGGCGAGGCAGTGGCGCAGTAGGTGGTGCTTTTGCCTCACAGCAAGAAGGTCGCTGGGTCGCTGGTTCAAACCTCGGCTCAGTTGGCGTTTCTGTGTGGAGTTTGCATGTTCTCCCTGCCTTCGCGTGGGTTTCCTCCGGGTGCTCCGGTTTCCCCCACACTCCAAAGACATGCGGTACAGGTGAATTGGGTAGGCTAAATTGTCCGTAGTGTATGAGTGTGTGTAAATGTGTGTGTGGATGTTTCCCAGAGATGGGAAGGGCATCCGCTGCATAAAAACTTGCTGGATAAGTTGGCGGTTCATTCCGCTGTGGCGACCCCGGATTAATAAAGGGACTAAGCCGACAAGAAAATGAATGAATGATTGAATGGGTATGCATAGACATATCTGTAGAATAATAAGAGATTAGTACTTGGAAATGACCATACCATGAGCCTCAGACACCATTGTTTCCTCGTTCTCATGTGAACTCTGTAAGCGTTTAACCCTGCAAGTCTTAAAAATAGGCCAATCAGAACAATAAAGAGTGTTGCGTTGCTTACGGGGCATGTCCTCAAGATTTTGTGAGTACTTTAGGTCACATTCATCTGGATCTGACAAGCAGCCGGGTCATCAGGAGAACGGCAGTCATAACACTGACTGATATGTTGCACCATTCATTTGCATTTTGAAATAACAATGATATTTTTTCTCCCTTATTTTAAATTGTATCAAAGTTTATATAAAATTTATTATGTGGGACTCTTATTTTGAAAATAGGAGATGCTACAAGTCGAATCAGTTTGATTTACTATGCATTAATAAGCAACGATTCTTTATATATATATATATATATATATATATATATATATATATATATATATATATATATATATATATTATTCGAGTCCTGATCAAGAGGTAATGTTCGAATCCGATCGAGTCTGAAACCATGTGATCAGGCCCAATTTCCGATCATGTGATCGGATCTGGACATCCCTAGTTTCCACACACTTTTTAAGTGTAGTCAACTTGTGTGGGTCAAGAGTGTGTCGTTTTCCCATTTTAAGTTTAAACCTTAAGTAGTTACATCATATACGAAATCTGAAGGAGAATAAAAAGTTGATATTTTCTAGGCTGATATGGCTAGAAACTGTACTCTCATTCCGGAGTAATGATCAAGGAACTTTGCTGCTGTACCATGGCAGGAGCAGGTGCAATATTATGCAGTGGTAAAATTCTACTCTTTAACTCTGAGGGACTTGTAATTGAGCCTATTTTCAAAAAAGTAGAGTGTTCTTCTCGTTTTAATCTGTCCATGTAACCCTACTTCTAATTCTCAATTTTTTTTCCCCATGGTGTTTAAGTTGAGATAAATGAGATCAACATTATGATGCTGTTACATTTGTGTTACGAATTTCATTCATAATGGTTTTAAATTTGACTTGATGAACCGTGCAGAAACCTGTTAGATTGTGATTGCTTTGTTTTCCAGGAGGATCTCTCTCAGAGAAAAGACATTGAGCCAGAAGGTGTCATGCTACCTCCCGTGGAAGTGGTGTCTCTTCCCAGCCCGGCCTGTCAACTAGTGGAGCGAAAGCTGGATGAATCGAAAAGGGAGGCTACCGATGACGATTAACCAATGAGTCGAGTCAGGCTGCGTCCAAAATCGCTTACTTCCATACTATATAGTACGATAAAAACAGTATGCGAGCTGAGTAGTATTCAAAAAACAGTATGCGAGAAGTATCTGGATGACCTATTACTTTCCAGCGAGATTATGAAGTGCGCATCTAATGGACGATATGGTATCCCATGAGGCACCACGAGAGAATTCATGAATAGGAGTTAAGTGACGCAGGTGGGTCACATGATAATGAGAAATGGCGGATGTAGCACATCCAAGTTCCATTCACACTAATCACATTCATACTGTATAGAACAATTTTTTCTAACAGTTGTGTAGTAAATTGAAATTCCAGTGTAGTACCTACTGAGTAGTAGGCGATTTCGGACGCAGCCATATTTTTGGTCCAAAGCGGCTTGACGTTTTTTTCACAGCCAAGCCTGACTCTCTGGTGCCTCTAGTGGTAGGGAGGCCACTGTATCAATGTATCTACAATAATCACGCTTGTAGTAACGGCAATATTTACTCTATTCAGTATATCGTGCATTCCAAGACAGTCTTAACGCTTCCCCGTATAAGGGAAAGATGCGTAAAAGTGCAAACTAGTAACTTTTTTTCTTCTTGCGTAAGCTCTTTTCTTTTATTTCTCACTATAACGTCTGTGCAAGCGAGCAGTGTAGAGAAACCTGCAGGACAGGTGTTTAATTTGACAGAAGGGGTGCGTTGAATTCAGTTTGAAGGAGCTCAGTAGTCTCGTAATTGTCATATGCAATAGTTAAAAGACAAGATGGGATGGTACACCCCTGAAAGATACACCAACTCAGGTAGAACTAAACTTGGCAATTGAACGAGAAGATCACCATTGTGGAAATCAAAGTATTTCCCACAGTTAATGGTTCACTGGGAAGATATGGGTCCCATTTCATCAAGCATAACAGGCTGTGTACATATTGTTTTTCTTTTTTTACTTTCAAATGCGATCTGAAATTAATATTCAGATAATCATAGCTCAGTTTTTGTATACACGACGATTGTAAGCTCTTTGTATCCAGCCACTTAAGCTAATCTCACCCTGACTAGTGTGAGGGGTCTAAAATGCTTCAAAAGTTTCCCCCCCTTAAGGTGTTATTTGCTATAAGCATCATTTACTTACCTCTTGAATAAGGTAATGCAGTATGTAAAATGACAAGTATATCAGCATCTAATGCAACAAGCTGCTTTTCATTGGACTATTGGATATCCACTTTTTGATTTTATGTGTCTTAACGAAAGCCAAAGCAAGGCAAGTTGTAAAACAGAAGATTTTACATGGACTAAATGTTTGCTTAAGGCACATCACCGTGCCTCGGTGAGAAGCGCTTTGAGCGTGTAAAGGCTTTAAGCTGCACACACAGTATGATTATTCTGGCCTATCAGCTCTGTACACAAAAACAGTATGCAATGCTGCGCGCTGTCCAGGGCCCTTACTCTGTGCTTTTTCCTAATGACACAAAATAAAATCAATAAACAAGCAAAGTGTGGAGATTGAATTCAATTTGTATTTAGAATAGCAATGTTTCTTGCATGTTCTTCTTTTCTTCTTAAAACAGGCCTACACATTACTATTCTTTTATTGTTTTGTTCATAAGATTCAAAATACTGTAGAAATAGCATTCTGAAATTGGGAAAAAGTGATGTGTTTTAATTGATAATTTATAAACATTGGCAGTTTGGGGAAGATTGATGAATTTTCGGCCATTATATCAGCTATAATATACACTCACTTCATTAGGTATACCTTACTAGTACAAGGTTGGAACCATTTTGGCATCAGAACTGCCTTAATTCTTCGTGGCATAGATTCAACAAGGTACTGGAAATATTCCTCAGAGATTTTGCTCCATATTCACATGATGGCATCACGCAGTTGCTGCAGATTTGTTGGCTGGACATCCACGATACAAATCTCCTGTTCCACCACATCTCAAAGGTGCTCTATTGGATTGAGATCTGGTTACGGGAGGCCATTTGAGTACAGTGAACTTATTGTCATTTTTAAGAAACCAGTCGGAGATGATTTGCACTTTATGACGTGTTATCCTGCTGGAAGTAGCCAACAGAAGATGAGTACACTGTGGTCAGAAAGGGACGGACATGTTCAGCAACAATACTCAGGTAGGCTTTGGCATTTACACAATGCTCAATTGGTACTAATGGGCCCAAAGTGTGCCAAGAAAATATCCCTCACACCATTACAACACCACCAGCCTGAACCGTTGATACGAGGCAGGATGGATCCATGCTTTCATGTTGTTGATGCCAAATTCTGACCCCACTATCCGAATGTCACAGCAGAAATCGAGACTCATCAGACCAGGCAACATTTCTCCAATCATCTAATGTCCATTTTTGGTGAGCTTGTGCAAATTTGTAGCCTCAGTTTCCTGTTCTTAGCTGACCGGAGTGGCACCCGGTGTGATCTTCTGCTGCTGTAGGTCAGCCACCTCAAGGTTGGACATGTTGTGCCTTCAGAGATGCTCTTCTGCACACCTTGGTTGTAACGAGTGGTTATTTGAGTTACTGTTGCCTTTAATCAGCTCGAACCAGTCTGGCCATTCTCCTCTGACCTCTGGCATGAACAAGGCATTTACACCCACAGAACTGCCACTCACTGGATATTTTCTCTTTCTCGGACCATTCTCTGTAAATCCTAGAGATGGCTGTGCATGAAAATCCAAGTAGATTGGGAGTTTCTGAAATACTCAGACCAACCCATCTCCAACCATGGCACTTTCAAAGTCACTTAAATCCTCTTACTTCTCCAGTCTGATGCTCGGATTAAACTGATGCAGATCGTGTTGACCATGTCTACATGCCTAAATGCATTGAGTTGTTGCCATGTGATTGGCTGATTAGAAATGTGCGTTAACGAGCAGTTGGAGAGGTGTACCTAATAAAGTGGCCGGTGTGTGTATTCATAAACATGAACTGAATATAATTTTAATGCTTTCTGTAATTATGATTATTTGATTATATTTTGAGAAACATGCAGTATTGCAGTAATTCCTTTTGGTTAAGTTCACATAAAAGCACTTGTCACTTGTTTCATGTCACTTTTTTTCTATTGAGTTTTTTTTCTCAGTAATATGTTAGTTAGGTGGTTTCAATATGTTACAAGCTGTGTTTTATAATGCTAAATGCTGCATTATTTTGTGTTTATTTCAGTGGCACCAGGACTGCATTGATGTTTGCTAGTTTCACTCACCTTTTGTCTCTTACTGTCAGCTTGCTTCACTCAGCATTATGTTTCTTTATGTTTTTGTACTGACTGGAAAGATGACAGTGAGTTTGATGTGTAATATTTAAGTGTTTTCAAAGTACGGTACATCAGTGTGATAAAATGTTGATTTACAAAATGTATTGACTAAATATCTCCCGGAAAATACATTCGTAGGCCACTTTTTAAGATATACCTGCATATCTGCTCAATAATGATAAAATATAATCAGCACATCACATGGAAGCAAGTCATTTAGTGATAGAAACTGTTGATCTACTGGAAAAAAAAAAAGAGAAAATACTAAATGAACACTTGTGAAAATGTCTCGTTGATGCCGGACGTCTGAGATGAATGGCTGAAGCTGAGAGAAGGAAAACTGTAACTTACAAACAAGAATTGCAGAGGAGCGTATCTGAGCACCTCGAACACTCAATCAGATGATGATCCCCAGCTCCAAGAGCAAAAATTGGGTTATAGAAGGCTGGAAAAAGGTATAAACATTCTGAAATCATCAATACATCCTGCCTTGGGTCATCAGGTCAGACTGCTGGTGCGAGAGACATTGTTTTCAGTCTGAGGTGAAGGGCTGAAGCTGACAGAATGGGAAACTAACTTACAAACAAGTTCTGCAGAAAAGCATCTCTGAGCAAGTCGAATATTCAATCAGATGATGATCTCCAGCTCCAAGAGAGTAAATATTGGATTATGGAAGACTGGAAAAAGGTACATCATGAAATCATCAATACATGATGCCTTGGGTCAACAGGTCAGACTGCTGGTGTGAGACATTTTTTTCCAGTACCAACTGAGCATTGCTTGAACACTAGTCTGATAATGTTGCGGACCATCTTCATCACTTTATAACGATTTTCTAATGGCTATTTGTCATAAAAATCAAATCATAATACATGTTTTGATTGCATGCCTTTCATTTCAAGTAGCCAACTCAAATCTTCCCTTGCAGAGTTGTTATTCATTTATCTGCAGGAAAAGGGGTAAAAAAAGAAGTGGTTACTAGACTGTAGTTTGTTTTGAAGGAGACAGGAAGGTTAAACTTATTTGTTTGTTGCTGTCCATGGTGCTGCAGGTGTACATGTGTCAGAGGCAGAAAGGCACTATCATCCAATGTTTAAAAAAACCCGCAACAACTCAGGAATATGGTCTTGATCTTGGAGGGATAAAGCTAGCAATGCTTGAAAATAGAGTCATTCTGAATGCTGCTTTGTTGAGGCGGGATGATGGATTGTGGAAAATTACACAACTTCTCAATCAAGGCGTTAGGGTTGTTTACAATGGAACGGCTAAATTGCCTCTGAAGACATTACTGTGGTCAATTCATCATTGTAATCAAGCTGTCTCCCTGTACACTCACACACTTTCTTCATATAAATGTACAAAAAAAGAAGTACTTGCTGTACAGTCATGTAAAGTTAAATTATAATAAACATTAAAAAATGCACAACCTACCATACTGTATCTCCACTGGTTCGTGATGTATTGGTAAGTGGCAAAAGTTAAACTAGTTTGTTTAAACAATGAAACATTCATCTGTGGATGAATGTGTGTTAGCAATTTCTTCATTATTTCTGGACTGTAAATGTTTGTTACTTTGTTAATCTACATTAAAAGCAGTAGATAGTCACAGCATAATTTACCTTTGTGAACCTGCTGGGGGATTATAAATCTTGTACAGTATGTTAACGAGTGAAACGTAATTCAAGGTAACCATCAGGAATAGCTGGGCGCATAGCAGAAAATGAGAAGCCGGGTTCTTACACGCATGTTTCAAAGAGCACCATTGCCTGCGGTAAATATATTAATAGTTTATCCAAATATGACAATTTTGTTAAAAATAAAAACGGGTGCCAGCGCGACTTCCGGTTTGAAAGAAAGCGCGGCGCATCCACGTATTGCCGTGAACTAAAGAGAAGTAAATGTTGACTAACCTTACATTATGATAATACGATTGAACTTAAAGAAGACGAATATGCTATTTTAAGGATGTTTTAGCGCCTTTCTGTGCTTTGAACGAACTTGTTGCAACCGTTGCTGTCTGGAGCGAAGATCTAGGAATAATATAGGGTGAGTAATAAATGGCACTTTCGGGCCTGTACTGACTTTATAATAGAAAATGTTTTATTCTAACAGATTCAGTGGCTCTTTAAGCTAATGCTTTAAGTGAACTTTACGAGAAGTAGCGCACTCGTACATAGCTAGACTTTGTAAATTAACAATGCTTGAACAATAACAGAAAGGCACATACACGACTGAGATATAACAAACAATTATTTACATTCACAATCCTTTTATCCTTAATAATAATAATACAACAGCTCATAGACCTTATGTAGGATGAAGATATGGGAATATGTTTTTAAATTAGGTTATCTGTAAGTGATTTTTTAAAGGCAAAGATTTTTCTTTTTGTCACCATTATGAAATGTTTAAATATTGTCTCCTTGCTGATTTAGCTGCAAAATATTTGAACCAATTGAGATTACACAAAAAAGCATAAGTATACAATGAAAGTAAGTAAATCCTAGCAACCACCTCAGCCCATAATGACATAGGGATTTCTATTAACTGCTTATGAGAAAGATCCTTTATTATTATTAGAATAATAATAATTATTATTATTATTATTCTTTTTGTATATTTTATTTTAAACGGTTTTACATAATGTACCAACAAAACAACACACACAAAGAAGAAGAAAAAAAACAACCCAGGCAGTTTGAAACTGCAGATGAGATTTGGCTCCAGGGAATGTATCCTCTCCAGTTGTATGACATGAAACAATTCACCCTACCAAGCTTTAAAACATGAGGAGTCTGAGGATTTCCACACTTTTATTTTTTTAATTAAGAAAGATCCTGCATTCCCCTTGTTAATTAGCTGGATGTTGGATGAATTTCTTCAAGCATCGCCAGTAGAGGGCAATAAATATGTATGTAGATACAGTATTATTTACAAACACCGTTATTACTAGGCATAGACTGGTTTAAGATTCTAACAGTATGAGAACCTTAGATAAAAATATGATTTTACGGTATTGTGATAACTGCACTAAAATATATTCTTTTTAAATGTGTGGGTAAAAAAAACAAAAATTTGAGAAACAATTATTTTGTAACAATACACACGTCAGGCTAAATAATTCAAATGAATCACTGACTTTTGCTTTGATCATTAAGAAAGAACACAGATTTCTTTACATTTTAAAATGGCATTTTTGGATCGTTTCTGCTGGATATAC